ATTTCTCATCAGTCTGTAAATCTTTGTTTCTTCTTCAGGTGCTTTCTCACAATCTGTACACAGTTCTGAACATCCCACACGATCCAGTGGCTCTGGAGGAGCACTTCCAGGATGATGACGACGGGCCGGTGTCTAATCATGGCTACATGCCCTACCTCAACAAATATATATTGGACAAGGTACTTCTGAAATAAGATCAAAGTGGGCCTTTTTCCTCAATAGCTGATGCATTTCAGTCTTTTTGTTCTAAATTAGTGGCAGAAAATGTCAGAGCACTTGTAAGAGAAATATTTCACAAATAAATTACAACCTTGTGAATTTTGTCAAGTTGTTTAATCAAGAGAAATTGGGAAATTTTCTTATATTTCTCAGATATATTTTTGTTCTGGAGGCAAAGATGACTGGTTGCGTAGAAACTCAGTTTGTGGCGCAGCTTTCCATTAATCTGGGATTGGGTTTGCAGAAAAAAATAATCTCGTTAGTTGAGGGATTTCTCACATGTGTTGTGTAAAACTAGTCTGATTTCATAAAGTTTCTATAATTTCAGTGGTTTTCTGTATTTCCAGGTCAAAGAGGGGATGTTTGACAAGGAGAAGTTTGATGACCTGTGCTGGATGATGACCATGAAGAAGAACTACAAAGGGTTAAAGACGGGGTCACTGCTATCAGAGAGAGACAGCTTCAAGCTCTTCTGTTTATTCAACCTCCTGTCTGAGGACCGCTACCCGCTGGTGATGATAGCAGAGGAGGTAAAAGACGCTGAGGATGGAGCAGAGTTTAATGTGTGAAATGGGGATTTGTGTTGGGAAGGATTTTGTTTTAAGAATCTGAGCGACACTTAGTTGACGAGAAGTTTGCTCAAAAAACATTTTGACATTGCACAAGAAGAGAAAGGAGGTAAATTTTGTTATGTCAGAATTAGAATCCCAAAATTGCTTTGTGTCAGTTGCCCAACATTGTGAAAGTTAATAGAGTCGATGGCATGGTTGCTGCACTAGCAGAAGATGGGATGGAAAGAAAAAACAAGAATGCATATTAAAAAAGACTTCCTGGGTATGTAGAACAGATGTATTCCCATGGCTGACGGTTCAGCATCTGGGCTACAGGAACATTTCTTCATTGTAATGTGACCAAGGTGGCATCAATTCAAATAACAAAAGCAATCTGATAGTAAGGAAACGTTCCAGAGTAATTCTTGTAGCCATGTCTGTGAGATTCTGCACAAAGGCCATTAGTCGTTCCACTTTTTGTCCAATAGCATAGGTTAAGACTTCATGGTTGATGCCCCCCACAGTCTCACCGGATTGTTGTTTTTCTTTACATAATTAAAGAAGTTTCTGTCATAACCTGATGTAGAAAAGGCACAAGTTGGTGTATAAGATTCACCAGAATGCAGAAAATAACACAAAACTTTCACGCTGAAAGTTTCCTTGGTAAGGACCCGCCCAATGTGTCTCCCACAGTATTCAAATGAAACTTAAACACTTGTCCACCCCTCTCGCCTTGGCTGTAATATAGAAACAAGAAGTGCAAACAATTTTTCTTAACACTCTCTAGACAAATAAAAATAACCACAGGAGGAAATCACACAGTACTAGGCCCCACCAAAGGTTTTTAGCGGTTAGAGAAGGTACTTTAACTATGAACAGCACATTGCAAGAAAGAAACGTGATGCTCCATAGAAACCCGTCTTGTGTCCTAACAAAGTCACGTGGTTTCACATTTTTTCACAGCAGAAAAAAGCAAGTGCAAGTAAGTAAGTTAATGAGGCTCTTCCTTCCTGCACTTCCTCCATAATGCGGTCGGTTTCCTGCCGACAGAGATGAAAATAAACTGCACAGTAGCTGTCCCCTGTAAAGTTGGCTTATAAGAATATGTAATCACTATATTTGCCATCAGTATTTGCTTTTTAGGACATTTTCTCTTACAGCGTTTGTTTGTTTTTTTTGAGGTGGAGTATCTCCTCAAGAAGATCTCCACAGCGATGAGTCAAGAGTGGGATGGGAAGCTCCTGGAGGACTTAATATTCCAGGATGCCACATTGCGGGAGGAAGGCATGTCCGTGTGGACCTTCCTGGAGCACATGGAAGCAGGCCGGCTGCTGAGGGTCACCAGTGCAGAGGCTTTCAGTCTGGCCTTGAACGAGGTGTTTCTGGAGATGTATCACAACGTCCTCAAGAGGGTGAGTCAGCCTGTATCCTCTGAGCCAGTCTGTCTGCTCGCTTCGCATTTCTTTCTTTCTTTGTTCTTCAATTCAACCTTTGTTTTGCAGGGCTACATGTGGAAGAAGGGCCACGTGCGTAGGAACTGGACTGAGCGCTGGTTTGTGCTGAAGCCCTCCTCCATGGCTTACTACGTCAGCGAGGACTTAAAGGAGAAGAAAGGGGAAATCCAGCTAGATAAGAGCTGCATCATAGAGGTTGGTGAGGAAAACGTAAAGTAAACTCTGCGTGTTTGAGCCTTTGGTAGGCTGGTGAACACTGTTTCCGTCTGTTTCAGCCTATTCCAGACAGGGAGGGGAAACGCTGTATGTTCTGTGTGAAAACCCACAACAAAACCTTTGAGATGAGCGCGCCGGACCAGAGACAGAAGGTGGAGTGGACTCAAGGTGTGTTGGTGTGTATAAAGAGAAACACACATAAGTCACAGATTAACCACACAATTTATCATGTTGTGCTATGATTGTAGTATCCTGGAACATTATTGATTCAGGGATTTAAGGACAGTGTTAGTGCCAAGCTTTCACCGTTTGTAGGTCTCCATACTGCCCAACCGTGTTTCTCAAACAGCTTCTGTTTGCAGGGTTATTGCTCTTTTTTTTAACTTTCTGTTGTCAGACTTTGGGTTCCTTTATGTGTTTTTATGCCTCTGCACCAGTGACAGCTGTCCTATCTCTTGAATGTCTTGTGAGAATTTTTAAAAATTGCACAAATGTTCACTTGGGGCTGCAAGGTGGGGCAGTGGTTAGCACTGTGGCCTCGCAGCAAGAAGGTCACCGGTTCACGTCCTGGTGTGGACACCTGGGATCTTTCTGCATGTTCTCCCCGTGTAGTGTGAGTTTTCACCAGGTTCTCCAGCTTCCTCCCACAGTCCAAAAACATATTGAGGTTACCGTAATTGGTGATTCTAAATTGTCTGTAGGTGTGAATGTGCTTGGTTGTCTGTCTCTCTGTGTGGCCCTGTGATAAACTGGCGACCTGTCCAGGGTGTCTCCTGCCTTCACCCTAAGTCAGCTGGGATGGACTCCAGCCCCCCCACGACCCAAGTGAGGATTAAGCAGTGTATAGATAATGGATGAATGGATAGATGTTCAGTTGGACTAAAAGATGAACTGATTAGATTTTAGTGTTCAAAGGTTACTGTGACCTCAAAAAAACACGTTTTTGGCCAATCATGTGCCAATTATGACAAAGTTAAACACAAATATCTATAAAATAGAATACTGAAGTGAGGACATTTTGTATCCAACTACAGATTAGTCAACACAGTAACTTGGGAACAGAAAGAGAGATTGTGACCATATTTCACATTTGTTCAGATACTGATTTGAGGACATTAATCTTGGGTGCCCATCTAATACATTTCATCAAAGTCTACACTACATACTGAACATTGCATAGGTCTGGACACATATAACTGTATGGTGCCACTTCACTTGTTGCATGATTCTAGTTTCAGTCTGCAACAATTGATATTTCAGAGCACAACTCACTGGCATGTTAGTAGCAGGTTCAGGCGAATCATTTACCTAGAGTTACTAAAATATTCACACAAGGATCTAATCCAATAGAAATATGAAGTGTTGACATTATATGTTCAAAAGGTCAAAGGTTAACTCCACTGTGGCATCATTGTGTTCCATAAAACACTTTTCTGGTCATTACTGACTGCCATAACTCAGGAACAGAAGAAAAGACTTGACTGGTTGATGGAGGCGTACAGCCACAAGGCAGTAATTGTAGTTATTTCAAGCCAGATTTGGCACCCAAATCTTTACAAATTGCCGCTTTGTCACATTTAAACAGGCTAGGTGCATATTAGCATCGCTTTTCAAACCACATGCATCTGGTACACGTGGACAAATTTGTGAACATCAGAAATGAAAAGCCATGATTTGAAAGTTTTCCGCTGGTGTTATCACTGTAGTTCCTTTTCAGGCAATGAGAATTTTGCCCTCAACAGGTGCTCAATGTGGTGAAAGGGTTCATTTGAACTCAAACCTTGACCTTCTCCTAAACTAAATTAAACCAAACCAAACATCAAGTGGAAATGTGACCTTAGCCACACAATGATAGTACAACACACGACACAAATCAACATCTACTGGGCAAAAGCTCAACATAACCCTCCTGATATCATTGTTTAACAAACTGGAATGTGGAAAAACTTGTTTTTCTATCAGCATCAAATACTGATGTTAGTGGCAGTGATGTTAAAATACTACTTGATTTAATATGTGAAATCTTCTGAAGCTTTTAGGAAGTAGAAGCAGCTACATGCAGAAAGATAGGAAGGAACACAAGGTTAAGGGGAGCGGTGCTGTTTGGGTTAGGTTGACTGCCTGGACGCAATCTTGATCTTCCAGCCATAACAAATTTTTACCGCTTTGTCTAGTGACACTGACACATTTCTTTTGGTTAGGAACAAAAGTTTCCGTAGTATTCTTACTTAAACCAAAGCACAGTCTATCCCAAAAACAACGGATATGACCCCTTGTTCTTTTGATAGAAGCACATTTGGTGGTCTTGGTGGCTGGATGACCAAAAGATAGGAGAAGTTTGATGCTTTAACAAAGAAGGATTTTGAATAATTAAAAATAATAATAAATCAACAAAGCAAATTCATGTAATGATCAATGCAAGTTCAGTTCTTTTTACTTGTGAATTTAAATTAAAAGTGTTTATTTCCAACTATGCTGCTTACGTTCAGATCTTTATGCATGTGGTTTTGTCACCTCTTCAGCCATTCAAACATCCCTCCGTCTTCAGCATGAGGGAAAGCCTTCGTTTCACCACGAGCTCAAACTTAAGAGACGGGTCCAGCGGGAACACAGCCAGCGAGAGCGCAGCCGGAGCGCTCGCAGCAGCTGCAGCAGCCGCAGCAGCCAATCAGATGACCTGAACATCCAAGACATGGAGAAGATGGAGAAAGACAAAGACAAGCAGGATTTAGAGATTGAAAGTATCATCCAGGTAGGAGAGGGACGATTAATCACTTTTATGACCACTGGCAATAATAATACTATGATATTGATGTATTTGCTTAATGGACCATGTGTGTGTGTTTGTATGTGTGTTTCGCAGCACGCACGGGAACTGGAAACCCGCCGGAGGGAGGCGGAGGAGAGAGAGAGGAAGAAACAGAAGGAGGTGCAGATGGAGCTGGAGAGACAGCTGAAAGAGGCTGAGATGGTAAGAAAAAGTTTGCCAGACGACAACATGTATTTACAATTCTTCTGAAATAGGATTTAGAGTCCATCTCATTGACTTTGATCTGTGAAAACTGCAGCAGGACATTGGCATTATAAAATTCAGGCTTAACCTTTAATGAGTTGGGGAAACGGTTACGACATTCCTGGAAAAGGTGATTCAAGAATAGGTCAGGTCTTTCCACTCAGTTGGTGTGTGTGTTTGTGTGTGTGTCCAGATGAGAGACAGCATGCAGGCTGAGATGGAAATGAAGGAAAGGGAGGCTGAGCAGCAGAAGAAAAGGATCAAGGAGTTGGAGATGATACAGCAGAAGCTGGAAGCTGCTCTTTCCATCGAGATCCAGACCCGGCTGGAGGAGGAGAGGGCCAGACAGGAGCTGGAGAGGTAACAGTGGATGTGAAACTATCATTTGTCATCTTACATGTATTTGCAGAATAATAATGGTCAAGGAACCATTTTGTTCATATCTTAGCAAATTGGAACCACTGAAAGTTAGCTACTAGCAATGACTGTAGATTATCTGTTAATGCATTACTGGAAAACTTAAAATTATGAGGTTCCTCACGCATCTTCTTGAGTTATGAGGTGCATCTTATTTCTCATATTCATGAGCACCCTTGCAGCTGCTTCTTCTCTTTATTTCCTCCCCCAGGTTGCTGCAGGCTGAAGAGGAGAAGAAGAAGCAGTTCAAGTTCCTGCAGGATCAGCAGAGGGCCATACAGAACCTCAGCCCCATACAGGAAGCCTTAGAAAGCAGCCCAGACGAGGAGACCCCCTCAGCCCTCCACTCGGCCTCTCAGGAGCTCCAGGATCTGCGGGCGTCTCGTCAGAGGAGCCACCAGCACCTGGAGGTCAGAGAGAGACAGTGTGCTTTAACTGGCCCAGTGTGCTGGTGACATTCAATGCTGCTGCAAGTCAAACACTGACGAGCCTGCTTGTTTGACTTTCTGATTTTAGGAGGTTCAGGAGAAGCTGAGGAATGCCAGTCAACACGTACGGCACTGGAACGTGCAGCTGAACCGCCTGATGACGCCCATTACTCCTGGAGGTGCAGTGCACTCTTTGCCTGGTTGTTTGACACTGATTTAAGAGGCAACAAAACAACTTTTTGACAAAAAATGAAGCTTTAGCTTTAAGGGGCTGCAGTCAAATTCAGTGTCAACAAATGTGCCCCTGACTGAAAAAACGAGTAAAGCCAGTATGCATGCAGCTCAGACTTTGTAATTATACTAGAAAGGCAGTAGTGTGCGTCTGCAGAAACGTTGATGCTGATCTCCTTCGCATGTAATGAACATGTGTTCAATATCTTCTCAATAGTTTTTCTAATCGCCACTTTTCATTTTTATTTTGACATGTGAACATTGGTTAATAATGTTTTGGTTTTTTTTCTTAAAAAAACAAAAAAAAAAAAACTACTTTTGAGAAGTCTGATACTACTCACTTTAATCTGTAGACTCATTGTACCTCTGCATTGACAAAGGCTGCGACCAGAGACTTTATGTTTTTGGATGTCTGTTCATCCCGTCGTTGTGAATGTAATATCTCTTGAACAACTTGAAGGAATTTCTTTAAATCTGGCACAAACGTTCACTTGGCCTCAACAACTGATTAGATTTTTAGAGGTCATGTGACCTCACAAAACACATATTTGACCACATCTCAAGAAACTATACAAAACATCACACAAATGTGTAAGAGGACAAAACTTTTTTACATCCAAAAGGTCAAAACGCTAAAAAATAAATAGGAGTTAGCCTACTACTTTTTTGCTTGGTGGCCATATCTTTGAGTAAATGTATCAAGTAACATAACAAAAGTAAGATGTTGTATTGCATTTTTTGTTGTAGACCGTCTGGAACATCGCCTATCATCAAATCGCAAGTGTCCCAAAAAGGAGGGAGCTCTGGCCAGCAATGAGTTTCTCACTAAATTCAGGATCAGAGGTCAGAACAGCCAGACGGAAGAAAACAGCGAAAGCCTGGAGGAGCAGCTGGAGACCACAAACCTGTACGATGAATCCGACGAACCGCAGGAAAAACCCAACGGACAGGCGTGATCACCGTGATGTCAGTTCAGAAATGACAAGAGAAATTCTGTAATTGTGTAAGACTGAGTAAACAGAGAAAAGATATTAATGATACAAAAAGTGTTGTATTATATTTATGTTTGGAATGACATGCCAAGCTGGAGAGTGATGATGACAACAAGCACAATGTGATGCAAGATTTAATTAAAACACATCTAAGACTCAGTGAGATTTACAATTTTGTACAATAAAGTTTATTGGTGAATGATAAAACTTTCTTGTGACATTTGTCAGTTTACATGTAAATCCATGTGAATTGCTGCAACCTCTCTCGTGCTACAACTTTAATTCCATATTAGTCAGGAAACTGAATTTATTTTTAGCAGATTTCTTGTGCAATTCCTCCCCTGCAATCTGACAATCAAACCCACAAGAAAGTTGTCAGTGATGTACATGCAAGTAAGTACATAGTTGGCAGTATATTGTATTTAAACACTTGTTACAGTATTTGCCATACAAAATTAGATTGCTGATAAGGCAAAATACTGTGCAGGAAAATATTTCAGCTAATATTAGCTTATCACATATTGTTGCGGTTGCTTAAAAAGCAAGGTCACCATCATGTTTGTCCACCACAGATCACGTGTCTTTCTCAACACATATTCCAGGCCCCTAATAGTCTTATTAGGAGTATTAAGGGGTATTTATTTTCTATCAAAAATGTCCCCTTGTCTTCTACAAACCTAGCATTGGCCAATTTATCAAAATCTGTGTTCAAAATTTAGTACAGGCCATGTTTAACCAAAAAATTCTAAATAATTTCATTTTAAACAAGCTGTTACATTGCAAAAGCTCTGACAATCATTTAGGATTGATATGTCTAATAATATAGCCATTAATCAATGACCCTTTCCTGCAACTTTCTGTTCATTTTTAACTATAAAAAAACCCAAAAGGCCTTCGGGATAAATCCATAGAACATCTCTGATAGACTAAAGGACATATAACAAATCTTGTGTGTCATGTGAAGTCAATATAATGAGTGTGTGTTTAAATTTGTGTTTAAATGGTATGATGAAGAGATTAACATATATGTGCTACAACAGAAAAGATGACTATATCATGTAATTTGTAACTCAGTTTAGAGTGCAACTGAAGATAATTCTTGGTGGTGGTCAGCAGGCATAATTATGTGTATTCATAAATTCAGAATTCAGAATTTCCATTAACTTGTGAGATCTAGTGGGTAGCTGAAAGTGTCTTCATTTTACAGAGTGTTGTGTGACTCGTTGGGGGAGGGGTGTGATTCTCACTCTGGGTGTGAGAGGTCCCAGGTTGAAGTCACAAGTTGGTGGTAGAATTATCTCTGGGTGACTGTTCAAGTTTCCCATTTTCTCTATGATGTGAGATTGAAGTATTGCTCCATTTCATCCATATTTGAGCAGTTTCATTCATACACACATAAATGTCACTGTTGCAGATGTCCAGCTGTAAAATAGTAATCAACTGTCTAAGATGGAAAAGAAGCACAGTTTATGAAAATAACAATGACAACATAGTGTTTATTATTTTGATAGTGACCTTTCAGACTCCTAGGAGGCCGACTTAGGTTCCCAGAAATTCCTTTTGGAGAAACTAATGAATTAAAAAGAAACAGCTCTCCATCTTGGAGGCTGCATGTTTTTGAAGCAACTTGCAGTCACACCAGCATCTGCTGCTGCTCCTGATGGCCATGACTGAGAATTAAAGGTCAAAGTTAAGACAAAACGGGACTGCACTTCTGATGGCTGACCCAAGCAGACGCATCAGCTTCAGAAGAAAAATGGCTGATATGGAGAATATTAGTTGAATGTGGTTTTCTTCAGTTGTAGTGGTAGTAGTAATAGTAGTCGTAATATCTGTCTTTCTTTGTTATATGCCATTATTTTTTGATTATTTCTTGGTTTATACATAATTAATGCCTGTATGTTCTTTCTGAAATATTGATTAGTAAAAAGAAAATAAATAAACAAAGTAAACAAAAACAGAAACAAAGAAAAGACTAAAATATTGTGCGTTAAAAATTAGGAAAAATATGAGCAGAGTCAATAACCGAATTAATATCACAACACATTCCGGCCTGAGGGGGCGCTGCAGCAGGAAGTAGCCTGACATGAAACCGGAAATAGAAGAATAGACTCAAACAACATGGCGGCTCCCATTGAGCTGTCATGCCGAGCGGAGAGGATAGTTGACTTCAGTAAAAATTGACTTTGTTGTTACCTACAGTTCGTCCGGACGGGTTGTGAGTCAGTTTCAACTCCTGAGGACACTGAGAGGTGAGGAATACTTCATGTCGGCGTCAGTGTTTGGCAGCATGGCGGCAGCCTGGAGGGGGAAGGTCAGCTCGCTGCTCCCTCTGACCAGGAGACTGACCACCAGCCAGGGGGGAGCTCAGCCTCCTCCGCCCGACGACTCCGTCCCTTTTCCCCAGGAGCGTGAGCCACGGGAACGAAGAGCCTGGAAAGACCCCAGCGGCTCCTCCGTGCTCCTGTTCCCCGGCCAGGGCAGCCAGTTTGTGGGCATGGGCAGAGGACTGCTGAAGTACCCCAACGTGAAAGAAATGTTCTCGGCGGCGGAGAAGATCCTCGGCTACGACCTGCTGTCTCTGTGCCTGCAGGGGCCCGAGCAGGAGCTGATGAAGACGGTGCACTGCCAGCCGGCTGTGTTCGTCACGTCTCTGGCGGCGGTGGAGAGGCTCCACCAGGAAAACCCGGAGGTTAGTCTGTGGAGAGTCACAGTCATCATGTCATGGTAGTACTGAGAGCTCCACTGTTGAGCTACTAGACTTCTCCTTTTGGTTCGTTTTACCTTCTGGATGAAAGCAAAACATCCTCGAATTATTATTATTGCTATTATTATTCACTTTACTTAAATTGTAACTGTATTTTAATGTATTTAAACATAACTAATCTCAGCTCAACTCAGTGATCTCAGGACTGTATTATAAGGACCTGATAAATGGTGTTTTTAGATTCCAAGTTGAGGCTCCTTTCTCAAAAAATCTGTCTTCTCTGTGCAGAATATAAACCTTACCTTTCTCTAGAGAGTGTCTTGTATCCTTTAGATACAGAAAACTTCACCACCATTCATTTGAATTCAATTTAAATTCAGTATATTTACATTTGGACTGCTCAGCTTAACGTTTCACTGTGAACTCTGTGACGAGTTAAGCTGAGACAATTAATTGACTAGTTGTCAGCTTTTAAATTAATTTCCGGCTATTTTACTCCTACTTAAATATAACCTAAGTATAGTTAGTGTAATGTTTTACCAACTGCTCAAAATTCAATTATAGTTTACTATGCTTCCAAATTTAGGAAGATCGAATCAGAAAGCTTTTGCCACACATTTACTGATAGAAGGATCCGTTGGTTGATTATTGTTTTACTTTTCTGCCCCCAGGCGATTGAGTCATGTGTCGCTGCTGCAGGTTTCAGTGTTGGAGAATTCGCCGCTCTCGTCTTTTCTGGTGCCATGAACTTTGCCGAAGGTGAACCTGACATGTTTTCTGTTTTGTACATGTACATCAGGTAAAAGCATTGTCAGAGCGATGTGAAGTTAACATACCATGTTGCCTGCTGTTGCGTCCTCTAGCGCTGTATGCGGTGAAGGTGCGTGCAGAGGCCATGCAGAAAGCATCGGAGCTGGTTCCCAGTGGGATGCTGTCAGTGATTGGGAGACCTCAGGCTCAGTATAAATATGCCTGTCTGCAGGCTAGAGAGCACTGCAAGAGTCTGGGTGTGGAGGAGCCTGTGTGTTCTGTGGCCAACTACCTGTTCCCTGATGGCAGGGTCATCGCAGGACACCAACAGGTATGGACAATGAAGACATGAACTAACACAACCCCACTGCAGCAACGGATGAAGAGGCTTACATAACTTTGTCATATTATGGAATTTACATTAGATATGGGATGATGGGTGTACAGTTTTATAGTCTAGTCTCACATAAAGGCTGTCAAAGCTGCTTTCATCAGAGCCGTGTTGTCTTCCCAGGCTCTGGATTTTCTCCAGAAGAACTCCAGGCAGCTAATGTTCATGAGGACGAAACCTCTTCCAGTCAGTGGAGCGTTCCACACTGAGCTGATGGCGTCGGCTACTGAATCCCTCAGAGAGGTGCTGAAGCAGGTGGAGGTCAGTCAACCAAACATCACATAAGGAGCACAATCATTCTATAAAATGATGATTTCACAACTTTTTAAAAAAATCCTCAACAGCCTTGATTTCATGCTTTCACGTCAACCCTCCTCAGTACTTACGTCTGTTGGCTGCTGCTCTTTTAGTCTCATCACATTCTGACACATGATAAAATATAGGAAATAAAAGATAAATTCTTAAATTACCACAATGAAAACTGGTGCATGCTTAGTTATGCTGCAGCTTTGAGTGTCTTGAACCCCAAACAGTTTTTGGCCTTTTTAGCTCATGTCATATTTTTCCTCACTGTAGGCTAATTTCATAAAAGTCCTGCACCTCCATGGAAACAGCACAACCATGACTTAAGTACAGAAAAATGTCTTCTGTAGTATGACACAGCTATAATGCCATGAATCAGAAAAAAAGTAGTATTTCTTTGATCGTTTATTTACTTTACAAAGAAAATGGAATCGCATGTACAATATTTTGCCTACAAGTGTTCCCAAGACTGATGAAAATAGTGGCTCTACATACTATAGATATTTTGCTACTTGCATTTACTTTTTTTCCCATATTTCCCCCTGTCAGCCTGAAACTTAGCCCATTTCAGACACAACCTCTCTCAATTTTTGTCACGCTGAGTCTCTAATGGCTTCACTGATGTGCTGAGGTGTGTAGAATAGTTAGTTTTTACAAAATTGGTTGAAAGCAAATTTATTTTTTTGATATTTAAAAAAAAAAAAGTGTAGATTAAGGTGATTGTAAAGCTTTGTTCTCCACAGTTTCACAATTTTCAAGCTTAGATTTGGTTGACTTTTCTGATGGAACCACGTGTCACATTGACAAATCATCAGAAAGCTAAAAGTCTGATGATTCTTTCTAGTTTGTAAATAAATGTTGGAATTTTGACATTTAAACAAAAAGAAAAAGATAGCAGGCCCTTCGAACCTGGTGGCAGATTTTGGGGTTCAGAGGGTTAGGGGGTCATGAGCAGCACAGCTTGGAAAACCTATTTTTAAAAAGTAGAATTATAACCAATACCGAACTACTAAATGTCCAAAGAACCTTTTGATCACTTTTTAATGTAAAATGTGCCAAACATTTTCTTCAATGTGAGAATTTGATAGTAAAATCTATTTCCACTGCTCCTTTAATACAAATTCATTTCATCCACATTTCACATTATTATTTGTGACTTCACCCACAGCAGTTTTTGCCAGCTGTAGCTCTCGTCCGATCTAGCCCTCATCACCTAATGTCTAAACCTCCCTCCCGTTCAGGTGCGGCGCCCAGAGATCAGAGTCTACTCTAACGTGGATGGCAAACGCTACATGAACGAGAGTCACGTGCGCAGGCAGCTGGTGAAGCAGCTGGTGTCGCCCGTGAAATGGGAGCAAACTCTACACGAGATCTATGAGAGGGTGCAGGGACAGAACTTCCCTCACACCTATGAGGTCGGACCCGGAAAGCAGCTGGGCGCCACGCTTCAGAAGTGCAACAGGAAGGCCTTCAAAACATACACTAGTGTGGAAGTCAGCGCACATGAAGACTGATGATGCAGAGACGTGGACTCAACAATGAAAACAGATCAGCAGGAGCTTTTGTCAAACCTGCAAGCTCTTCCTTCTTAATGCTCTTTCTTATGTAATACTGTGTAATTAAATGAATGTTTTTTTAATTAATGAGACTGTCACATTTTTTCATTATGAAGTTTATTTGAGTCACATGAAAAAGCGTTTTTTTCAAATCTGCAACAGAAAGTCCAGCTCCCTTCATTTTATATTAAGCAAGGCTACATCTCATTCGTAAAAATCTTGGCCTCTTTAACCATCTGCATATAAAAGACTGCAGGCCAGCAACAGTCCACTCATGGAAAACATGCTTTTTGACATTAATACAACTGTGAACCAGCATGTCACTGCTACAATAAACTCCCCACCTCCTTGGGCAGCACTGTAAAACTAATTTAAACATTCTCTCTTACCCTGATCAATTTAACTGTATAGTAAAATAGTTTTCCTTCTTTTTTTTCAGTTTTGCTGCCCAAGAGGTTGTTCACAATCTTCACTGTTAACTTCAATACCGCTCATTGAAATAGTAAAAAAAGAAAAGTCAAAGTAAACAGCAGAAAATAAATCACTTAGCAGTAATTGTCACTCATTTGCAAACTTTTTTTTTTTTTTTTTTGTCAAACATATAACGGCCAAAAGGACCTGCTTATGGCCATTTTAGGCTGTCCATTCCTTCCATAGTGCTCCAAAGATGGTCACTGCAGCCACCAGTACCACAGTCACAAGTGCTCCTCTGGTCCAGCCAGTGCAGGTTACTGGTTTCAGACTGGACACCTGTGAAATAAAACGTAGTGAGACAAAAGTAGAGCTTTCTTAATATTATTCTACTCCAAAAAAACAAATTGTGAAAGCAGAGATGTAAGTCTCTTCTTCGAGTGTGAATGTCAGACCTGTAAAACTTTAGATTTCTCCATGTGAACTTCAAAGACACTTTCCTACATTATACAAAACAATGCTGCTTGTTATTTCTTTATTCTACACAGATCAGCTGGAGAGGATGCTGCTTGCTTATTAGTTTTATTAGTTTTACTGATGTGTGATGAAAACTGGATGCAAAGCTCCAAGGTAGCACCCATTGACTAAAATGAGTAACAGACGACTTCCATGTCATTGCAACCTGGTTCTAAAATGCATCCATGTATCCACTACTACTATCGACTACTTTTACAAATAGTCTTAAAATGCATTTGCATTATCTTGACTGTCGATGTAAACTGATACCAGGATAAAATACTAATTCATTCACATCCAACAGTATTTGCTGTTAAAAAGTTTATTATGTTGTGCTTTGAATTTAAATTAAAGCAAAACCATTGGAGAGCGGTTAGTTGACATGATCTACTTTCATTCAACTGGCTGAGTGCGGACCAGATGAGGTGTGTTGTAATGCACTGGGGCAATAGAATCATGGACCTAAGGCTCATTTTAAGCATTTTACTGCCGTTTGTTCTACATTGTGCAGCATCGCCACTGTTTCAACACTTTTACGCTGTTGAATTTTTCATATGAACAGGATTTAGTGTTAACATGATATATTCCCATTTTATGTTGTTGCTCTATTGTTCTTTAACAGTCATGATCTTTAAATTAAGTTTATGTGGGTTCTTAAAAAAACATTTTACCATGTAAACGTGGAGGTTCTCATCTAATATCAAGGTTATATTAACGTTCCTTCATTGTCTCCACAAATGTAAGACTTTTGTATCCGAAAATGAGGAAACAAAACCCTAAAATGCTTTGATCACGATCAAGTCGGCGTTCAATATGTTTTCCCTTTTGCAGCAGGTTTAAGATTTATTGATTCATTTTAGAATGACCAAACCCAAAAGAAAAGAATGATGTTGACCTTTTCATCTGGATAATACATGTATGGAGAGCAAGTGAGGCTGAGCACCTCCAGATTACATTCAGTCCCCATGCAGACTACATGGATTTGAAGATTTGCAAAAACAGATAACTCCATTTTTGTAGATTTTCAGAAAACTTGTTTGCTTAAGATAATATCAATCAAACTGAAGTTGAGTGGATCTGACTCAGTAGAAATGACAGAAATAGAGATAACTTAAGTTTGATTGATATTGTCTCAGGTAGACGATGGAAAAGTGGGTTTTCTGAAGGTTTGTGAAGATGAAGTTATCTGTTTCTGTTATCTCTGCATTTACACCTTACATATACACTTTCCTCTGTTCGGATAACTTGAACCGATACAGCTCATATGTTATTATCAGGTGTAAGTGGGACACTGATGTTCTGTATACCATGCACCATGATGGAGTTTAGTTAAAGACACAAACATAACAGACAGATGAGAGCATTACCCAGGCTGTCAAGGCCTCAGCTCTGAAGATCCCCTGCCCAGGCGCAATGCTCTCAATCCAGGCCTTCACCGCAGCTGACAGACCCTGGAAGCCCCAGAGCTGACTGTGGATGTCCCTGAGAGGAAGAACAACCGATTACAAACACTCACACAAAGATTTGATGAGTGGAATACATTTAAAGGGACTGGGTTTTTTTTGTTTTTGTTGGTTTTTTTACCGATAGATGGTCCGTGTCAGAGCCTGGGCAGGTCTCAGCAGGTGTAGAGGAGTCAGCCGCCGGTTTGGCAGCCTGCTGGTCCACTCCCGGTCCAGCTGGTCTCCGATTACAGCCAACTGGCGCCCGACAACCCGAGCGGCCCTGTCACTGATCCTGAAGCAGGAACAGGCAGGGAATTTGTTCAGTTGTAGGATTTAAGATGTGTTTTTTCTGTTGATTTTGTCACAATGTGGAAGAAAAAGAAGCTAGATAATGAATATTTTGGTTTCTTTTTCTTTTTTTGTATTCATCAGGGAAGTTGAAAGACATCATGGTATCATAGATGTGGGAGATTGTCCAAACAGAAACCTCTTTTGTTTGTGTTTGCTTGGTCCCAGACGGTGTATTTGCCTGAGGAGGACCTGTACTGTACCTGAGGTTCACGTCAAACAGGGTCCCAGTGTCCACCTCACCAGGTCCAGCCTGGACGGACACGACGCGACTCGGCTGTCTTGTTTGTTCCACCATCGTGTTGTCTGAGGAGAGACCCAACATAATGCAAATAAATCACATGAGTACACATGAGACGAAGACATGCAGGACAGATAAAGGCCTTGTGGCTCCAAGGTGTTTGTGTGTTATCTTTGTTCGTCTCTCAACGTTCATAAACAGGTTGTGTAAATACTGGGTCACATGACCAGGATAGGTGGCGGCTGTGTAACCAGGGAGAGGATGCAGGTTGAAAAAAACAGGCCCTTCTAGGTTTGAGATGACATCATGTGTTGGATCAAGTCCAACGGTTGTAGTCTATTGTCTGATGTATGCTGCAGCTGAAGTGAGTTTCAGTTCCCTAACGTTTAGGACGGGTGTACGCAGGAAGCTGTACATCTACTCTGCCTTTATCACGCCGTCAGACTAGTTATTTTCTTTATGTTTTGCCCCAACAATCAGGCTGAAACCGGTTTGCAACCCCCTACGTGCACCTGTCCTGAGATCAGTTCCTGTTGTACCTGCGCTCACGTGCCTTAATGCAAATGCTCCATTTCCATAACTCAAATCACCCAAACTGCCTTTTTAACCTCACCAAGAACAAAAAAACACAGCGACTCTATAGAATCTGCTTAAAAGCTTTAAATATTTGTTTGTTCACAAATCTCAAAAAATCTACTACTAAATATTTCTCTGTTTTTAACAGTGTGGAATTAACTTTACAGTATTTCTAACATTTTAGTGACAAAATGCCATCAAATTGTAGCCCTGAATGTGGGAACCTCAACATCATAATACAAAATTATACCCAGAGGACCGCTTAAAACATTAACCATGTAGTAGGGAAGAGTGGTTTGCCATATTGTCATAACAAAGAGATGAAGTCATCCCTCTCACCCAAAGCAAACAAAGGTCGTTTGGAAGATCACACATATTGTAATTGAAGATATCAATACATTTTAAAATAACTACATTTTCAATACCACTAGCACACTGCATCCCAATGGAAAAGTATCTTGTTGGATATTAATCGAGTGTAAATGTTCCCATCCTGACAGTAGACGGGTGCATGCACAACAAAAATGAAAGTATAACTACCTTTTGTGTAGATTAAAGTAGACGCCGCCCTGTAATAAATGGGAATACATTAGAATTAACATTGATCAGAAATAAAAAATAGAATAAAATAAAGAGAAATTGGTAAGATTTTTTTCTTGTACTTACAGCAGCGTCCTTTAATCTTGTTGCTCTCAGGTAACTGCCGCAGATATGAGTGGCCACGCCTTTACCTGCTGCTGCCCACAGCGACCACCAGGGGGCGACGGAGGCGGCAGAACAATAATAGAAAGGCATAACATAGATGTTAACTTGTTGCAGTAGTTGTAGTCTTAGTTCTTATTACTATTTTAAAACTTTCTATAAATTTTGTTGCTATGGATGTATTTTTTCGTTTTATTATTTCCTTTTTTTTATTACTTTTACACAGCATAGTTACAAATTGTTATACAATAATTATAAATACAATTTTATTTATTGTTTTTTGTTTGTTTGTTGTTGTTGTTGTTGTTGTTTTTACTAACTACAAGGTAATTGCTCTTTTGTACATTTCAGAAATAGTACAGTGGTTTTACTTCTGCAAGCCTTATTGTTTGTGTTCGCACAAATCAATCCAGTATTTATCTCCCTCCTACTTCTTATTTTATGAGTGATATACTTTGTAGTTCATTTTTAATAATAACTAAGTTTAGTCTAGAAGGTGTGGGATATATTACCTGAATGAGTTACAAACAATAATAATTTGTGACAATGTTGTAACAACACTTATACATTGCAGATTCAATAAAACATTTAATATCATGCATTATATTTTTTAAAATATATATAAATATATTTATTTTTATCTATTTTTTCTTTTCTTTTCAATGTATTTATTCTTTATCTTTCTGTATAAAGTGTGTAGTTGTGTAAGGTCGCCCCCTGCTGGTCACTGTGGTCATAACGTCCTGCGGTGACATCACTGCGTCCTCCGTTGCTAGGTTATTCTCCCGGAAGGACCAAGCCCGTAACGACATCTTTTAGCATTTTTAAGACTTTTTTTTTGTTCAAATAATTTCTTTAAGATATAATTTGTTCTAATGTCTGCCGGTATATGTTACTATATCTTATTAACAGAGACTACTGTGAGTGGTAGTTTCACCGGTGGGCGTTTTCTTCGCTGCCCAGCATCACGACGGCCGGAGCAGTAAATATAGCTCGTTAGCTATTAAACAGCTAGCATGGAAGCAGCTGTTAGCCGTTAGCTGCTGCTAACGCTGGCGATGATGACAAACTGTTTCTTTGTGAGTTTAGTCGCTAACGACAGCGCCATGAGATTGCATCAGTGACTGGGTGATGCCCGCCCAACCTCTGCAGCAGTCCGAGGAGGATCCAGCAGCCTGCTAACTGAGCCAGCCCGACTAGCTGATGCTGATGACTGGCTGTTTCCTGACATTGATTTGCAGGTAGCTGACTACACAGAAACAGACACAATGCTAAAGGCACCGGTGCAAAGTAACGGCATGCATTTGTAGAAATACTTGTCTGTGCAATGGATTGTTGATGTGCTTTTCCTGTGTGTTTACCTGTTGTTTTGTGCTAGTGGGAGGCACCATGGCCGGTAAGGTGAAGTGGGTGACAGATATTGAGAAATCAGTGCTCATCAACAACTTTGAGAAAAGAGAATGGGTTCAAGTTACAGAGAGCGAGGACTGGAATTTCTACTGGTAGGCGTTTCATCTACATTACACCTGCACCTTTAGTCCTTGGACACTATTTCATGCTAAACCCCACATTATTATATCATATATAGACAGTGGTAGAAGGAGTTCTTTGTAAGTAAAGGTCATGCATTGAAAATTCTACTTGCAAAATGTATATATGGTATCAAACATGCAAGTCCTCCTTCTGCAGAAAAGTGGCTCTCGTGACCTATATCTTATTATACATGACAACATCAGGTTGTTGAGAGGTGAGGAGGTGCCAGTTTTAACTGCTTTATAAAGCTGCAATGATTAATTCTTTAATCCACTGGTCAACTACTACATGTATTGCCAGCTATTTCTTTAATCGATTAGGCGTAAAAAGTGCAAAAAAGTGTAAGTTCTCTGATTTAAGCAATATTTTTCTTTCTTCCTGTATAACAGTAAACTCAATATCCTTCCATTATGGATATAATGCTGGATTTTGAAAAACACTGATTGACATTTTTCATTATTTTCTGACATTTCATATATTCATCAATAGATTAATCGACAATGGAAATAATTGGTAGTTGCAGCCCTGCCATGTTTCACAAAACACAAGTTATGTAGTTTAGGTGTGTGTTAAGCCTAGAAATGTTAATTTATGTATTCATTTGTGTATTACTCTGATCACCAAGTTTATTCTTATACTCTTGGCTCCTACAGTCCCCATAATGCAGGTTTATTTGTGCCTACATGTAGGATGAGCATCCAGACCATCAGGAATGTGTTCAGCGTGGATACCGGTTATCGCCTGTCAGACGACCAGATGGTTAATCACTTCCCCAACCACTACGAGCTGACCAGGAAGGACCTGATGATCAAGAACATCAAACGCTACCGCAAGGAGCTGGAGAAGGAAAGCAGTCCGTTAGCAGAGAAGGACGAGAATGGAAAATACATTTATCTGGGTACGCATGAGATGAGTGTGGAAATGCATACGTGAACTACATTCTGTTTTTCCCTCCTCACGCAGCATGTGGAGGCACGCTATTTTAAGTGAGAAATCTGATTATGTTTGCACTCTGTACAGATTTTGTCCCGGTGACATTCATGCTCCCTGCTGATTACAATCTGTTTGTGGAGGAGTTTCGTAAGAATCCGTCCAGCACCTGGATCATGAAGCCCTGCGGGAAGGCTCAGGGCAAAGGCATCTTCCTCATTAACAAACTGTCACAGATTAAAAAGTGGTCGAGAGACAGCCGCACCTCGACGTGAGTTATCAAAGACGCCGACCCAGCCAGAGGAGCTTGTAATGACTGTATAATAAACTAAAAACGTACTCTCTGTCTTCTAGCTTTCATGTCTTTCTGTAAACTGAAATCCACTTCTTCACATTATCCTTTATAAAGAGACAGTCAGATATTTTGAATGTAAATGCACATGAAAAGCCATAAAATTTACAGTTTGTACATGACTGTTGCTGCAAAATATCAAACTGGTTGCTGATGCGTGGCTGTTTCTTGCCCCCAGGTTTGTAGCAGCATCTAGTGGTAAAGAGGCTTATGTCATCTCCCTGTACATTGACAATCCTCTGCTGATAGGAGGGAAGAAGTTTGACCTGCGTCTCTACGTTCTGGTGACCACATATCGTCCCCTGAAATGCTATATGTAAGCCCAGAATATGTGTGCTTGATAACCTTAAATAATAGCTGCATATTATAGAGGTTAGTAGGGTTATCGTTGACTCTGACTGTAGTTGAGCCATTACCTTATTTTGTAACAAGTTATTCACTCAGAGAAGGTTTTTGTTAATAATTGATAATAGCAACGTGTTCGAACACTGTAGAAATCTATCTCACGGCAAGTACAACTCTTATGACTTATATTTCCAATGTTAAAGAATCTGTTTATTGATCGTTCTCTCTGGTGTTTGACTCTCAGGTACAAGCTGGGCTTCTGTAGGTTCTGCACAGTGAAGTACACACCCAGCACCAGTGAACTGGACAACATGTTTGTTCATCTCACTAATGTGGCCATCCAAAAACACGGGGTAAGTCTGTGTCATGTCTGGAAGGGCTCACAGGAAAATTTGTGGTGTAATTAAAAAGGCAGAAACTTTGTTGTTAGCAACACTGGACCTTCTGTTTCTGCATGCAGCTCTGTCAGACTCTCTCTATCTGGTAAATGTCTTTTCCACAAGCTTTCTGTTCAAAATTTGAAGTCTCACATGCAGACTTTAAAAGACATTCAGCTGTTGTTACAGACTGAGTAATACGCAAATGTGTAAAATCAGTGGTGTGCATGTTTAATTAAAAGGGGCAGAATATAATTTTGGGGGTTTTCTGTTGACTAAGCATACAGTTCTACCAGATGATAGAACTTCTGCTGACTGCATCCAAAGACTTTTACTTGGTGGATTTCAAACTGTAGTCTTAATGGTGATGTGTATATGTTATTGTAATATGAATTGATACACAAACTTTCCAGTTTTACTTAGACTGTGTGTGTGTGTTTTAATGCAGGACGACTACAACCACGTCCATGGAGGCAAGTGGACCGTCAGTAACCTGCGTTTGTACCTGGAGAGCACCAGAGGAAAGGAGGTGACCAGCCGATTGTTTGACCAGATCCACTGGATCGTGGTGCAGTCGCTGAAGGCCGTAGCTGTGAGTGAATGTGACAATGGAGTCTTTTTTTGTATTATCAAATGACATTTACAGATATGTGACAGTTACTCTGTAGATGCTGACTGACAAAATACATGACACACAAATTTGGAGAAGTTTAACCAGAATATGGCGCTTATGTCCAATATGTTGTGTAACAGCAATGTCACATTTTACCTCAGGTTTTCATCACTGTCAGTGTTTACACCAACTGCAATTTTCAGCTCCCCATGAATTAAGAAAAACTGTTTTCAGCATTTTGACAGCGCATTTCTTGAACCATAAAGAAACACTTGATCGTGCACAGTGACACCTGAAATGCACATCTTCAGTCACTCAAACGTATTCAGAAGACTTTGTAGCATATTTACTCACATTAAATGTATTAAGATGTTTTACTTAGACCTGCAGTTCGGTTTTGGCCACCTGGGGCAACATAACACTAACATAGTGTGTAATCACTTGTTAGAAAATTGTCTCCTGCTCACACATCTGGCAGAAACAGAGAAACACACATTTGGAGTCATGTTCACGTGCAATCTTTACTCTCTTTTAGCTTTGCTTTTTGGAAATATGACTCTTATATTCAACAGTTAGTCTCTGATCTTTTGATGCTGAGCAGGTAGCCACAGTGAGCTTTCAGAGCTTTTTTTTGTTGTTGTTTTTTGACTGAAAACGGCTACCTGCTGCAACCTGACGAGGTGAGAGTTAGCCTAAACAGTGACGTTTAGAGAAGTTGCTGATGAATCTTTGTAGGTTTATATTATATTATATAATAGTGCAATATAAAGTTTTTTTTAAAGCAAAACAATCTTGAAATGTCAAGCGTCCAGGACAGCCTCCTTTCACAGTCATATTTACTATTCAAGCATTATTCCTGACATAATAGCATAAAAGCAGCATCATTTAATATGTTCAATAGCCTCTGCTTTATATACATATGAAATGAAAAATACTTTATTTATCCCAGAAGGGAAATTCAATTATATAGTATAATAATATGCATATTTTAATGATGCATCTTATTTTAGAAGCTGATCCTTTTCAATATTTTGAATGAAACTTTCAATCTGACAAAGTAACTGCCAACTACAGTCGTCATAGTTTTTCAGCAGGCTAACACTAACACTTGCACAACTGTTAGAGCACCTGGATTTTTTTCTTTTTTTTTTTTCTTTTGGAACAACAGCACACTCAACCTAATGCACACTTCCCTTTTCTACTAAGTGATCTGACTCACTTCCCCTCCAAACCCAGGCTACTTCATGTGCTAATAGTTATGACCAGAGTTATTTTGACTATTTGCTAACATCGTTCCCTAATGAATCACTCTGTGTTGCATTAAAAGGTTCGCAATCTCGCTCTAGTCAATTCTTCTTCCTAATTCAGGCTCTGCTTCTTTTTTTTTTTTTTCTCACAGCCTGTGATGAACAATGACAAGCACTGTTTTGAGTGTTACGGGTATGACATCATTATTGATGACAAGCTGAAGCCATGGCTTATTGAGGTAAGTTATTTACCAGAAATTATCACACACCTACAAACTTACATCTCGAAACTGCTTAAAATCTACCTCTGCTGTAAAAGACGACTTGCTTTTCTTTGCTTTCCTCATTTATTGTTCCAAGTCTAAGGATACTTAACATGCTTGCACAATGACGCTACATTCCTTTCCTTTGATTGTTGAGTAGCTTTAAATGCCCCTGAGGTACTCTCAGTTGTGTGCCTCTCGGTATTCAAATGTGTGCTGAAGGTGTGTCTTCCACCCATTCACTGCAGCTGACTAATGCTGCTAAAAATACGGAAGTAGCTGAGCTTGTACCAAGTAATACAGTCTGATACAGACTATTTGTTACTGAATCTTTTGTTGTCATTAAATAATACTTTCTCTGTCTAAATATTGTGAATAATTCACTTGTAATGACGCTGTCATATTTTACTGCACTCATTTTGACAGCTGTACAATGTGCTGCTAGGTTTCCAGGCTAGGTCTGAACTATTTCTGTTCACAGACACCGATCTGATCTATTTTGAGCGACATGAAGTTGGTTGTGGGGCATAAACGCTCCTCAGTGAGAAACGTGTGCCACAAACCTAGTCAGGACCAATCTCTTTTGTTCACTACTGCTTCTTCTGTTGTGTTGTGAAACTATAATATGTGTGCAAGTAGCCAAGATTCCTTAACAGCTAATGCGTATAAATAGCTGAGGAGCTCAAGTAAGTCTTGATGTTTGGATCATCTACAGATGAAAGTAAGTGTGTTGATATCAGAGCGACTACTTCTGCTCTCCCTGGGCGCACGTGAAAGTTTTCCAGGGTGTATCTAATGTTCTACTTTAAATGCAATATAAAGCTCATTAGCAGCTACATTTCCTGCCTCATAAAAGCTTCTACATAGATACAGGAGGAAATTAAACAATATATTTGTTTGGATACTCCACTGCATTTGCTGTCAACCTTTCTTTTTTTTTTATTGTTTACTGCAAACTGGATCTGCATTTGTGTTGATGCTAAACACCCTCCTTCTCAAATGCTAATGTCATCGTCTCTGTCTGTGTGATCCTCAGGTCAACGCCTCTCCCTCGCTGACCTCCAGCACAGCCAACGACCGCATCCTCAAGTACAACCTCATCAACGACACCCTCAACATCGTCACACCCAACGGGGACATCCCAGACTGCCGCTGGAATCGCAGCCCTCCCCGAGAGGCCCTGGGCAACTATCAAGTCCTGTGAGTGACATTTAAAATCTATCAGTTACATTCAGATGCAGTCAACGGGCAGGGAGAGCCACATGGGAACTTAAAATAGGCAGCAAGAGTTTAGGTTTACACTGTGTGGCTGTGTTGGTGTCTGCTTTCATGCCCTTCGATAGCTCAGTTGGTAGAGCGGAGGACTGTAGTGGAAATACCAGGCATCCTTAGGTCGCTGGTTCAAATCCGGCTCGAAGGAATGATATTTTCAGACCGAGGAGCCACACTTCACAGGTTCTGTATAAGCATCCCACTTGTATATATGATGTTTACATTACTGTGTCAATTTGGCTACAATTTAAACACATGATTCCAGTTAGGAAAAAAGAAGTGTTTGACAACCTGTTATCTTCA